GAGCACAGATAGCCCATTGTGTTGCTTTGTGCTTAATTTCAAACAAACAATCAAATAAGCCCCCAGCGGCTTAGCCATAAATTTCAAAGCTTACAAAACTACATTTTGGGTTTCGATACCCGTGGTGGGCAGAGCACAGATAGCCCATGGTGTAGCTTTGTGCTTAATTTCAAACAAACAGAACTAAAATACACAAATTCCAGTAAAAAACGTAGGTACAACAAAGTCAGGTGTAAAATGTAGTGTTAGGTATAAATAACAAGTAATTGTTTATTTGTTATTAAACACGTTGGGCGATATGTGTTGTACTCACCACACCCTTTTGTTATAGTTGTAAACCTGAAGGCTTACGGCTGAGCCATCGGGAGGCAGGAAAATGAACAGAGTTTGTTTTTTTTTGTTTTTGTGTTTGCAAATTTTAGTTTGTTTGTTTGTTTGTTTTAGCGTTGGGCTATTTACTGTGTCCTACCGCTGGGAATCGAACTACGGATTTTAGCGTTGTAAATCCATAAACTTACAGTTGATCCAATGGGACGCCTTTAAACATAATCCAATAAAACTACGTCTCAGAAATCTTCGAAAAGTTAAGTTTAAATTATAAATATAACATTCATTTTTTATCTGTTTAGTTATAATATTTTTTATATTGGATTTTGTTCCAAGTTTATTCTTCTTTATTTTCTCAGAAAAAAGAATGCTCAGTTTGGTTGGCACGCTTCAGTAAAGAGATCTTCAGACTCTCCGACATTTCCCTCACGTCAGCAAAGGGTTTGGAAGAAGCAGCACTTGGATGCTGTCATGTCCAAGAGCTTTATCTTTGATTCATTCTCTGCTGAGATGAGCCTAATTGTTACAGTCATGGTCTATTGGCTTCTTTTCGTTTCCATACCGACCTGGATAGTGGTTGCCCTGGTAACAGTCTTATTCTTCTCAGCTTTTATAGAGATGTTACGACCCTGCGGTGCAGCCCCAACAATGTATTATAAAGATTCCGCTTTCTCACGTTTCCTGTTGAAGAATATCCCTCGGTTAAGCATTCCTTATAAGCCGCCATGTTGGGCTAAAAATCCAAATATTCAAACGCTCGTGAAAACTTATATTATCGATCAGGGCGAGACCAGATTCGAGCGTCATTTTCTCCAGCTGAAGGACCGCGGAGTGGTAGCCTTAGATTGGGCATTAGCGCAAGGGTCAACCTCCATAATGAGGAAATCTCGTCCAGTGGTCATTTTGTTGCCAGACTTGATGACGGATGCCCGAAATCTTATGTACACGTGCCAAAAATCCTTACAACAAGGATTTCGACCAATGGTTTTTAATCGTCGGGGTCACGGCAACAGCCCATTGACCACTCCCAAACTGCAATCCTATGGTGATCCCTCCGACTTACGTCAAGTGGTCAAGTACATTCGGAGCAAACTTCCGAACGCCCGTGTGACAGCTATCGGATATGGTGCTGGCGCCGACCTTCTTTTGGCTTACCTGGGAGAGTTTGGTTCTTCAGCGTACCTAGCGGCCGGAGTAGCTGTCTCGCCTCTGTTTGATCCCGAGCGTCTTTACACAGGATCCATGCCGCAACCGTATGAGGTTCTTGGTCTCTTAGCTAGTAAGCGGCTGGTGGCTTCTCACGGAGAAGGACTAAAAAAGACGGTTGACGTTCAGCAAGCTTTGAGCTGCCATAAATTAGCAGACTTAGAACGACACGTCTACTGGAAGATGGCTGGCTGCGATAATTCTGAGCAATACTGGGAGAAGAACGCCCCCTTGCGTGATGCTGACGATATCTCCACACCAGTTTTGTGCATCACCAGTCATGATGACCCTTTGGTAGTGGATGAGGCGATCCCGTATGACGTGTTCCAAGTCTATCCTCAAATGTTATTAGTCACTACGAATTACGGTGGTCATTGTGGGTTTTTGGAATGGGGTCCAGACGGTCTGCGCTCCTGGGCTGATTTAATAGCATTGGATTTCGTAGAGTCTGTCTTGGAGTTCTCTTCAAAAGAGGAACGTAGACTGAAATCAGCGACGAGATAGAACTCAACAGTCGACCTTTGGCTTCTACTTGTCTTCAATGCTAAGAATGAAATCTTGTGGACTTCACTAAAAATCTCAACCAGTCGCAGTTTAAAGAACCACATCTGTGATGTTTAAAAAAGATGTATTACTTTCTCATTGTGAAGTTAGTGTTAAGTGTACAATTTGAGCTTAAGTTCAATAGTTATCATACACTTATATGTCCATCGACCTATCAGGTGACCTCAACTAATCACTTACACTTTACAGTATGTGTAGTCAATGTTTGGAATTATTATGAGTTATATATTTACAGAATGTGCGGTTTGTGTCTGGTGTTATTATGAGTTATGTATTTACAGAAGGTACGGCCAATATTTGGGGTTATTATGAGTTATATATTTATAGAAGATGCGGTCAGTGTCTGGGGTTATTACGAGTTATATATTTATAGAAGAAACTCGTAATAACCCCAGACACTGACCACAATGTATTTACAGAAGGTGTGGTCAGTGTCTGGGGTTATTACGAGTTATGTATTCACAGAAGATGTGGTCAGTGTCTGATGTTATTATAAGTCATGTATTTACAGAAGGTGTGCTCAGTGTCTGGGATTATTATTATTGCTGGGAAATACTATACTTTTCAGTGAACGCGATCAATACTTTGGTATAAAGCAAGATAACATCAAGATTTTTCCAGAACTGACAGGCTTCAAAGTTTTCAAGATTGCAGGCGTTTAGGTTGCATAGCATTTAATTGTCAGTTTAAATATTCATTTCTCAAGTCACCGAAGGAATTTAATTCTATGTAGAGTAATTACTAAAAACAGATTATATTAAAGAACTTGTCTAGAATCATTTTAACATCTACGTCCTTCATTATACAAAGTAGAGTAATTCAAGATCGCAGACGCTAGTTCCAGGCTGCCAAAACTTTATTATCAAATAAGCAACTAAGACACTGAACTAATCTGTATACTTATGATAAAATATTACCATCAATGACGGTATTTCTTACTTTTTAATCTGGGGTGTCATGGTTTGAGATTCTTCTAACCACGTTTGAACCGGTTCGTAACCGATTTATGAGTGTATGAAGTTCCAGAACTTTCGATGTTGTGTTGTGGAGCTGATAAACAGGATGAATTAAACCCACGTTTTCCTTTATGTTTAGTTTTAATTGTTCACTCGTGTATTAAAGGGCAAAGGTATAATTAAATCAGTCCTCTATGTAAGAACAAAATGGACGACATTTTAAAATCATCAACTCGGAAGTAGATCAATGCGCATGCTCTGTTTCTGTATTTCCTTGCACCCTTGTGAAGCACCTGTATTACTACGACAGTAATCGAATATCAACGTACGCAACGCGCGGCGATATAACTAAAACTAGCTACAAATTAAACCAAGAAACAACAGAGGGTATGAAAGTTTTAAACAGTTTAGAGGCCTCGTATCGCACCGTAATTGAGTAATCGTGACGCCATATAAGTAACTTATCATATTAGTTGGATAGCTTTACAACAGTTTAACAGAATATATATGTGACGTTGTAGATTAAAAGATACACGTATTTAAAACAATAAGTCTGCTGATGTTAGGCTAGTCACGTATACAGCTGTTTCGGTAAATATGTTGATATTTTTGTATTTAATCGGAAACGTGACCAATTGAATATAAGATGAAATGTAGAAAAATAGAATGTGTCTGTGTGTCTGTATATATATATTTTGTGTGTGAATATATAAGTAATACAAAATTTATATTTTAATACTTTTGAATACATATAACGTGCCAAATATGAATTTAAATGTTCTATATAAGTAGCGACATCTACAGAATCGTGGGTAAGAACAAGTTAGTACGGCGCAGATAGCCTCTTGTCTAGCCAACAAACAAATTTTAATAACCATGAATCAAATTAAAAACCTACACTGTATTTAAACCATCGTCTACGATGACTCAACGGTAAGTTTGAAGGGTTATAATTTGTAGTTCGATCCCTAGGTGTGCAGAGCGCAGGCCAATTGTACAGTTTTGGGCTTAAACAAACAAACAAAAAATATATACTTTTTTAAATCATAATTTTGTAATTTTTAATACCACTTTTTTGATAAATTATATCCTTAAATGATTTAGTCCTACACCGTCGAATAATTGTATTTTACTAACCGCTTCAAACATACATAATTTCAGACGTATTGTTATTGCATTCGAATTTGATACTCTAAGCCGGACTAATCTCGTTTACCAAGAGTAAACACACGCTGGCTAACTAGAATATTAACAGTTGAATGCGTTGTGTCAAACTTTAATAGGAACTCAAAATTAATAAGTTAGCAAACTGGGAAATAATACTGGCGAAAAATGTATTCGGATGTCGTTGTTGTTGTTGTAGCGCAAAGCAAAACTATTCACTCCCTATCCACCGCTGAGAACGTCCGTAAATTTATCTCTGACCCAGCTGGTGGGGAGTAACAGGTTGGTTGGCATTTTTTATCGGAGAATCAGATCCTGCAAATCAGTTTTTGCTTGTGTGTGTGTGTGTGTGTGTGGAAACAAGTTAAATGAAATTTAGTTCGTTATAATTATATAAAAACGATGACGCTACGAGGTTATAATATTTTAGGATTGACGACTTTTTCAGTTTATGGTACAAATAAAACAGTTTTTCTCATCAAACCTAGTGTGGCGTGAAGGAACTTCATGGGGGGAGGGCCTTAACCACCACTGTGGGGTCCTGTAGGATAGGTACTTGCTCCCGTCTTTACGGGGAATTTTAAATCTGCACTTCATCTTATAAGCCCGTGGTCTGAACGGTTAACTAAGCGGTTCTTAGAAGTAAGCTATAGCCGTCCCTAACTTTTAAAACTGCTCACCTGAAGAAAGACAGCCAGTCAGCAACACCCGCCACCACAAGGGCTTTGAATCGAACAACGGGGCTGAGCGTACTTTCGTAACGTGCTAATAGATGAGAATGTCGATAGTATTCAGTATCATCACATCTCGAATCTCGGACCCTTCGATCAACAAGAACTCGACACATTAACGACGCCCGTCACTTGTAAAGTATAGCTAACACGTGTATTGCTAGACTATATAATACAGCTGTTGTTTGTATTTATTATAGGTGAACTGACGTACGTGTGTATGTGTTTCTCTGTATATATATATATATATATAAATACATATTGTTAAATATAGAAAATACACAATATAATATGAAGAACATGAGTTTAAATATCTAAACTACTGGAAATATGATGTTCTAACTAGTTATTTTACCTTCAGGAATTATATGTTAAATTCTTGAAATAAACACGTGTTATAGAGATAAAATAGATAAATTTATAACCAGGAGAATTTATCGTATTACGTACAATTTAATTTTGTAGCTATATTATTACAGATGTTGAAAACTCTGCAGTATGAGTGGGACAAGATCGATAAGATTTATATGTTTTCAAGCTAGCTATAGCTCCAACCAAATAACGTCACTTTCAATATCTCCTCTCCGTTTCAGAAACCTCGGAGGAGTGTTACTTTCAATCAACAATGTCAAAATTTGTCGTATTTCCTGTAACTCTGTTCTTTTATACCTCTATAGGTATGACGGCAAAGAATCCAAGTTCCAAGAACAACATTCTATCATTGTTGTAATATAACCAGTATGTCTGCAGTGGCATTGTAGCATTGGTGTAATACCACTAATAAGTCTGAAGCGACATTGTAGCATTGTTGTAATACCACCAGATGTCTGAAGTGACACTGTAGCATTGTTGTAATACCACTAATAAATCTGAAGTGACATTGTAGCATTGTTGTAATACCACTAATAAATCTGAAGTGACATTGTAGCATTGTTGTAATACCACTAATAAGTCTGAAGCGACATTGTAGCATTGTTGTAATACCACTAATAAGTCTGAAGCGACATTGTATCATTGTTGTAATATAACCAGTATGTCTGCAGTGGCATTGTAGCATTGTTGTAATACCACTAATAAATCTGAAGTGGCATTGTAGCATTGTTGTAATACCACTAATAAATCTGAAGTGACATTGTTGCATTGTTGTAATACCACTAATAAATCTGAAGTGACATTGTTGCATTGTTGTAATACCACCAGTATGTCTGAAGTGACACTGTAGCATTGTTGTAATACCACTAATAAATCTGAAGTGACATTGTATTTATTAGTGGTATTACAACAATGATACAATGTCGCTTCAGACATACTGGTGGTATTACAACAATGCTTATTAGTGGTATTACAACAATGATACAATGTCGCTTCAGACATACTGGTGGTATTACAACAATGCTACAATGTCACTTCAGAGTCTGAAGTGACATAGTAGCATTGTTGTAATACCACCAGTATGTCTGGAGTGGAGCGACATTGTAAGGATGTTACAATACTAATATATTGGTTATGAAAATGTTTTGGTGTTATGTAAATGGACATTTATGATAATTATGTATAAACAAACAGAACCCAAGGACTGCAGCATATATCGAAACATCAATTTATTTTTAGTTTTGTCTTTAGTTACTTTGGTATATTATTTGAGATTCTTATCCTAAAAAACAAAACAAAAAAAAATTAAAGGGATTTAAAGTTGTTTTAAAGTTCTAGTCCATGTTTGTCGTCTATATATTGCATTCACTCGGCGTAATTATTGCTGTGATAACATGTCGGTCATCTGGAAGTTGAGAAACACGTGACAAAAAAGTAAACAGTTCTAGTAAATTACGCATTTTTCTGCTTTTAAACTTTATTGCAATATGTTAGTCTACAAGATATTCCAAGAAACAATTAGACCGATTAACAATTAACTTCATCGAAGCGCTATTTTGCAGATTTCCACATTACCATAGAAACAATATGGCGGGAAATAATTTGATACAATACAGCGCGAGATGATTGGCAAATTTCACAGCTAGTAGTCAGGTGGTATCAGCGTTGCCATTTGTTTCTGTAGTGTCATCTTCATCATAATATTATAACTAAGAGTAGTTAATTTTAGATCTGTAACGTTCAAGTTTTGTGAAGCTTGTATTTATGTAAAAATTTGTTGGATGTTCAAGGAAAGTTAATAAATCTTTTTTTCGTAGAGAAAACGAGCAGTGTTATTTTTTATTTTTCATTTAATGATTACATATTCGATGAAACTAGCTTTTCCTTCATCTTGTGGAAACAAAATTTTGAAAGAATTGATCCATATTATATTTCAATCTACTCTTTTTGTATTAAAGAGATTTTGACGAACATCACCAGACAACTGTAGCACTGGGCTAGGCTTAATCAGTTACTCTAAGTATGGTTTGATCAGTGATCAGGAGTAATACTCCCAATAAAAACTGATCTTATGGATTAAGAAAGACAGTGGAAAAAGTAAACCTTTCTAAAAAAATAATTTATCAAAGCCTCGTCCTCTAACGTAGCAATAAAGTTTGTTTGTTGTTAAGCATAAAACTATATAATGGGCTCATCACGGGTATCGAAACCCAGTTTTTATTATTATAAGCCCCCAGACTTAACGGTGTTAATAAACAATTATTTCCCCGAAAGGGAGTCGAAGGTCGCCTGTTTTAACCATTTACGGTAGTGTGTTGTCTGTCAGTCAGTCAGTAGACACTAAAATGACGTCAAATAAAGGACGCTTAACGTTGCAATTTGTACAGTCGTGACGTCAGTAAAACGTGCGCATGTCATGAATCACGAGAAGATTATGCACTCTGTAAGCTACAACAAAGCATGACATATGAACTTCAAAAGCAAGAAATAAAAAACAGTTGTTACTCTTAATTTTGGCTTTATTTAAGAGAATATGTTTTTAAAAAGTCACGTTTTAAATCTACGCTCCCATAACGAGTTTGTGAAAGGAATTTTGAACGATCTATATTTACTAATGAATCTAATACACCATATTTATGTAGCTAAATGTCATGGTTCAATATCTTCACGTGATCGGTACTGTTTATGTAAGCTTCCACGTGACGCGATAATCAAGTTATAAACACGAACTTTTATTAACAGTCAAGTCTACCGGTGGTGATTCTGTAATATTTGTTGTCTCCTACTAGTTGAAAGTTATAGCACAAAACGCTAGTTTTGGCATTTTGAACCAGTCCTGAATAAACAAATCTCTGTAGATGTCGCTTTTGGTTTCAATACCGATTCCGTTATCTCGAATGTAGAAGTGTTTAACATGATTCCTGACAAGAAAGCACTTATCATTTTCAACATCTTAGACTTAAGTATATATGATGATTAAATGTATTTATATATATTTTTTTCACACATAAAAACATGTATGATTCGCGTCCGATTGCCGCATATTCGCGCTCCGCTCTTTGAGACCATAAGAGAGACGAGAAATATCGCTATTCGGTTAGACAAGAGTAGCGAAGATTTGAAATATACAATCTCAAATAAACATTGTTAAGTTTGTTTGTTTGTTTTTTGAAGTTAAGCACAAAGCTACACAATGGGCTATCTGTGCTCTGCCCACCACGGGTATCGAAACCCGGATTCTAGCGTTGTAAGTCCGCAGACATACCGCTGTGCTACTGGGGGGCATTGTTAAGTAACATGTAAACAGCTGGAACAACTTTATTAAATTTGAATTATTTAAAAACACTCGAACTACAAGCTTAAAACATAAAATACCGACGTTAAGTATATAGCTTTTAATTTTAATTCTACACACAGATACATATAAACCTAAACACCCATATATTTCAATATATATTTATATTGTTTGTTTGTTTGTAATTAAGCACAAAGCTACACAATGGGCTATCTGTGCTCTGCCAACCACGGGTATCGAAACCCGAATTATAGCGTTGTAAGTCCGCAGACATGCCGCTGTGCCACTGAGGAGGGGGGGGGGCATATATTTATATACATACAAATGTTTTGAACAGTTTCCAGGCAAACATAATTCGCAGAAATTTTCATTTCGTGATAACAAGTAGTGCACTGTTCAGAGTGCTTCGGATTTTACCTGTACTTATATCATTGCCTAAATCTCTGTGGCATTATAAAAGCATTAACGTCGAGTTAAAACATGGAAAGAAACAACAACAAATACTAATATGATTGCTTTTCGGTACAATTTGGTTTGCTCTTGGGGGCTCCGGAAATAACGTAAACAACATTTTATAGAGAACTAGATTAAAGCTCTCCGTAAACGTTTCTTTTTTTAACCTATCGTTTCAAAGGTTAATATAACTTTTTCTTATATATATATTGTGAAAATTTATTTTGTATTAAACTTTCAAAAATAATCACCAAAGTCAATCCCATTAACTGTAACTTAAAAGTATAATTTACCTGGAAGAAAATAGTTAAGCCTCACTACAGAATTCCTATAATTTCTGAACACTTCTCGAGCGTCTTGAAGATTCGTGATTGTTACTTTTTTTCATGATTTTAGTGTAATAAACAGGTATAGTCTAAATTGCTTGTACAGCTCCTTGTTTTTGGATAGATAATTTGACCCCGAAATGATGGAGAGCTGTTTCCAATGTATGTGATTGGACCGTTATCGTCGCTTTGATAACCTTTGATCTTTACCCTAAAAGCAAACGCTCACATTTATATAATTGTATAACTTGTATTATTATTTTGTGTGTGTTTAGAAACGTAAATAATTCGTTAGGAATACAATATCAGATATTTATATGTTACTGCTCTCTCCTACTGCACACTGAACACTATGAAAGAGTTGTTTGTTTTAAGCACAACGCTTACACAATGAGATATTTGTGCTGCGCCCACCAAGAGTATCGAAACCTGATTTTTAGTGTTATAAACGTCACTGTCCTCTCCTACACTACAAGAAAACAACGGAAAGACTTCACCGTTCACTTCTACACTACAAGAAAACAACGGAAAGGCTTCACTGTTCTCTCCTACACTACAAGAAAACAACGGAAAGACTTCACCTTTCACTTCTACACTACAAGAAAACAACGGAAAGGCTTCACTGTTCTCTCCTGCACTACAAGAAAACAACGGAAAGACTTCACCGTTCACTTCTACACTACAAGAAAACAACGGAAAGGCTTTACTTTTCACGTCTATGGTACAC